CCGGGTATCCCGCCTCGCGTCGCCATCGGAGGAGAACCACATCCACCACGAACGGGCCCGAAGAAGAAACAACGATCAGGAGGTGGAAAAACACAGTCACAAGTAATCGTCGACTCCAAGGAAAATGTGGGAAAATGTGGGAAGTGAGGGGGAAGACTAAAATCCAGAGAATATGGACAGATCTGGGGAATCCTGGGATTCGTGTGATGTCCCTGGGCCCTTTGAAACGAGACCAGACAATACCATGCAACAGCACAGTATACAGGAGCATACATCTTAATGTGATGTTTTTTGTTGTAGCTCTCTTGGCGCTTATGTTGACTAACTGTATTTCGACACGCGGTTGGCGTGCCGTATCCTCCTCCGCACCCTCGTTGTTTGCACGTGCGCGGCGTTGGAGGACACGCACGGATCAGTTTTGCAAGCAATTTGTTCTGCACGCACCTCACGCAGTCCACGTCGTGTCTAGGCCTCCGTCTGGCATATCGCCTCGGCTAGACGCGATGCGTTCGCTTAAAAGTATAGTTGCCGCGCCTTCTCCGTTCCCACGTCAACAGCGATGCCGCTCTGAGTCTTGTGTTTTGCGCCGGAGTTCATGCCGTCCTCTTAGATGTGGTATTGATTTGGCTCGCAACGTAGTCATACTATATGCATCTTCTACATCGTACTTGTTTATCTCGCTATTCGATAGATTGCTTCTTATTTTGCTTAGTCCGCTTAATTTTCTGGTTGGGCGTGCCCTCCTTGGGCCCTGGTGCTCCCATGACGGCCTCAGAGGCCCTTAGATGCATGCATGCATTGCCCAAATTACTTAGAGTGCCTTATCGGGGGCCCAGGGGGGCAAACATGCCTATCTAATAGCCTTATAGGGCTCTGGCGGGCATCTTGGAGGCTTTTGAATTCGCCAGAAACGAAGTCAGGAGCGATAGCGCTGGTTTGGGCGTGCTGTTGTTTGCATCATTTTCTCGCGCGCTGGGGGTCAGGGTGACCCGGGCTCTACATGAACTCCCTCAAACGAAAAAGAGAGGAGATGAGAAGGATAGTGAGAAGGACGAGGGCGAGGAGGAATGAGACGTCTGGGACAACAAAATTAAGCTCAGGCATAAGATGAGCAGAAGGCGTTGCTTTTGACTACAACCTAAGCTCGCGCGAAGCGCGTGCGTGCTTCCAGTAATAGTTGTTGTTGCACGCCGTCACAACGATGACATGCCATGATGAAGCTGACGTAGTCTCCTTGTCGTTTCCGTGTCTCCTTCAAATTCCTGGTAAGAGAACGTTCGGGCATTCTGGTCTGTGGCCCTAGACCGAGAGGATGTCAAGCGGCAGGCGACGTATTCTTTGCATAGATGTGTACGTGAAGGGGTAGTGAAGATGCGTTTGGCACGTTCGCATTTGGAGCGTGTTTTTCAAAGATGCAGCCCAGCGGGTTTTCATAATGCATTTGGCACATGTTTTGAAACACGCACTGCAGGCCTTGGGCGGTATCCAACATGCATGTTTTGAACGTGCTCTAACGCGTGCGTTCCTCCGCCCCCATCCTGCCGCTGGTGCTCCTCCTGCTCTCCTCCTTATCTTTACCCCCCTCTTCCTCTTCCCTCTCTTCTAGGAGGAGTCGGCTTGCAGGGGGGGCGGGCGCGGGGGGGGCGCCGACGATCGCGCCGATTCCATCGCGGCCCGCTGCCCCTTCCCGGGACTCTCAGGAATCCTCCGGGCCCAGTCGGCCTCGCAGTCGGCGCCGGCGTCGCGTCGCCCGCGAGCGCCAGCCGGCGGGCGGGCCGACCTTGTTGCGCATGTTCGGCGCGAGAGACCCGCGCGGGCCTCGCGCTGTGCCCGCGCCCCAGGGCGACGGCCCAGGCCACTGTAGCCTCCCGCGCTGACGCGATGGCCTCGCGCGCGGCGCAGGAGCGGGCGCCGCCGACCGTTCGGTTCGGTTCCGCGCACTTCTCATGCGAGAACGCAAAGCCCCCATGCTGCGCGCGCTTTTGCGCGCTGAGCAATGCGATGCAGTTGCGACGGCCGCGCGTTCAATTGGAAACCGCAACGCAAGTTTCCATTCCCGCGCGCGGGGCGGGGCATGAACTTACAGATGCGCCGACGGTCGAGAACTCGCGCGCGCGCGCGCCCGCGCCTGCCATGTTGGGCGCGCGCGCTGGGCCCGGAAATCTGCGGCTCGGCCGCCCGATGCGTCCCAAGAATCGCTCCGCCTCCCCCCCCGCCCCCCTCCCCTTCAAAACTCATCCGCGCTCTTGGAAAAACCACGCCGCCGAGGCGGGGGCTCGGGCCGCGGCCCGATGGTCCCCGGGGCACGGGGGAATCAAAGGAATCAGTACGGAACCAGTGCAGAATCAAAACAGAATCGGCACAACTGCGACCCCTGATTCTAGCGGAATCAAAAGAATCAGCACGGAATCCAAGGAGGAATCGGCGATAGAACCAGAATCGGCCAGAACGGGGAAGTAGGCCAGAATCGGTGCCAGAACCCATGGAGAGAGGCCTTTTTCCCGCGAGTTCAGTGCGGCGGGTCCGCGGCGCGGGCGCGCCGCGCGACTTCGCTGGTTCAGCGAGGCGCGCAGTCGGCGTTCAGAGTGAACAGGTTCTTGTCAGGGCGATATCCTGGCGGCGCGCTGGCGCATTGCGCATTTGCGTATTCCTGGCGGGCTGTTTGAGGGCGACCCGGCAGCGCCGGCCGAATGGCCCGCAAATACCGCGCGGCCGATCGCGCGCCCCATGCGGTCACGTCGACCGCCGTGTGCCGCGACGGCCGCGCGCCCCGGACCGCGCCACTGCCGCGTTGGATTGGGCGGCGCAGCGCCCGCCCTCCAAAAGTCGTTACATTCGCATCGCGCGTGTCGAGCCAGCAGCAATCGCTCCCAAAAGCAGCCTTGACAGGCGCCCCATGCCCGTTGTCGCCCGGTTCCGATCCAAATCATAGTTTCTTAGGATGCGCTTGCGCGAATGTGAGAGCGCGGGCAAGTAGCGCGCGCGCGCGCATGGCGCAGCCTGGGAAATCCAACATGGAGCCCCCCGGGGGCGCGGGGCGCCAGCGACGCCTCCGCCCGCCTCCCGCGCGCCCGACCCCCCCCGCAAGCCGACTCCTCCTACTCTCTTCCTCTTCCTCTTCCCCCTTTTCCTCTTCCCCCCTTCTCTTCCTGACCCGCCTCTCAGGCCAGCCACCACCACCACCACCAGCGCCACTCCTTCCTCTTCCGCCTTCCCTCCCCCCTCTCATCCCCCCCCCCTCCCCAATCTCAAGCTGTTATCTCTCTCTCTCTCTCTCTTTCTCTCCCTCTCTCGGCGTACGAAGTCCACAGTGGAACCCTTGGAGTTGGCTGCGATGCCTGCCTCTGGGAGAGGCGTGCATGGACTCGGCGGCTGAGAACAGCACCTACTCCGTGGGCGAGGTGGAACACATCACACCCGTCGCACGGACCCTAGCAGTGTCTGCGTGTCTTCGTGTCTGCTGCGTTGCCTCAGTCCGGTCAGGACCTTCGTCGTTTGGCTTCGCCCTCCCCTCCTCAATCTCTCGTTATGCTCCTCCTGCCCTGTCTTCTTTTGTCCCCGTCGTATTCCTGCCTCCTCTGCCCCCCTCTCCCCCTTTTCCCCCTCGTCCTGGAAAGACCACGAGGGCCACTGGACCGGTGCAGCATGCGTGCTGGGCTCGGGCAACCATGTTAAGTGTCGCCGTGGTGCTGCAACATATAGGGGGCCCTCGCATGTCGCATCGGCTATGAACGTGCTTGCACTTTCCTACACTTTCCGAGATAAGTTCTCCAGATTGGTTCGCCAAGGCGCGGTGTTTCTTTACATATGCATATGGCGCAACAATAGCTCCATCAGTCTTGTGTGCGCTGCTCAAACTATTTTTTTGGAGTGCCAATGTCCTTCGCAAAGCACGTGCGTTGTATCACACATTCTGTCTCGGTAGAGTAGAGTCAGAGCGCGAATGCGTCTTCGTGCCATTGTACGAAGAGCTTGCCGCCGAGGGGTGAGGATAACATTGAAAATCTGTACGCGCCTGTTGTGTTGCAGCTCGTTGTTTTGAACAGTGATGTGTTGCTGATTCGCATCCAGGCCGGTAGATGCTGGAGCGGAGCTTCTTCCACCAGTGGTGCAGCAGCGTCTGGCTGCACATATTCACACGTGTGTATATCTCTCTCTCTCTCTCTCTCTCTCTCTCTCTCTCTCTCTCTATATATATATATATTTATATACAGGACTGCAGTGGCGCTTCGCGCCATGCACCTTGGTCCTTGAAGTTTGGTATGCAGGCGGAATAGCAGGCAGGTCAAGCCGGAATAGCAGGCAGGCAGGCGGAATAGCAGCGACAATTTAGCGATAACTCCTGGTTGCCTTTTCTGGCATCGCCGCTATAATCGGAGGTGAGGGGGTGAGATCGAAGTGGAACGGAGAGCCCCCTACCGGGAAATCGGTTTCGGTTTCGTGTTCGTGCGTGCCGTGCGTGAGGGCGAGGCGAAGCTGCGTGCGCGGGCGAGAAATGTCCCGCCTCTGGCTGAGGCGCGGCCGGACCAAAAGTCTCCCTTCCGGCAACCGGTGCCGCGCGGTGTCCCGCCGTCCCGATGATGATGATGATGATGATGATGATGATGATGATGATGATGATGATGATGATGATGATGATGATGATGATGATGATGACGATGTTGATGACGTTGATTATGATGATGATGGCCATGGTGGTGATGATGATGGTGTTCCGATGATGATTGTGTTGACGATGCTGATGTTGCTGATGATGATGGTGTCCCGATGATGATGTTGATGATCCGGGTGTCGTTGATGGTGGTGAGATGATGATGGAGATGAAGATGATGATGATTATGATGATGGTGTTGATGGTGTCCCGATGGTGATGATGATGATGATGATGATGATGATGATGATGATGATGAGGTTGATGATGATGCTGTTGATGATGCTGATGGTTATGATGATGATGATGATGGTGTCCTGATGATGAGGTGTTGATGATGATGACGATGATGGTGCCCCGATGATGATCATGTTGATAGTGAGGATGATGAGGTGGTGATGATGATTTTGATGGTGGTGAGCCGATGATGATGATGATATTGATGATGATGATGATGATGGTGCCCCGATGATGATGATGATGATGATGATGATGATGATGATGATGATGATGATGGTAGTGATGATGATGATGATGATGATGGCGACGATGATGATGGTGTCCCGATGATGATAATGTTGATGATGATGATGATGTTGTTGATGATGATGATGACGATGTTGGTGTCCCGATAATGATGATGTTGATAATGTTGTTCATGATGATGATGCTGATGAGGAGATGATGTTGGTGGTTGTGTTCCGGTGATGATGATGATGGTGATGGTGTCCCGATGATGACGATGATGATGTTAATGATGATGTTGATGATGATGATGATGATGATGATGATGATGTTGATGGTGACGATGATGATGTCCCGATATTGGTGATGATGATGATGATGGCTATGGTGGTGATGATGATGTTGATGATGTGAATGACGTTGACGACGATGATGTCGATGATGATGGTGATGATGATGACGTTGATTGTGAGATCGATTGTGTTATCGGTAGTGATGTCGGTTGTGATACCGAATGTTATATATATGTGTATATATATGTATTGTGAAGTCGATAGTGAGATCGATTGTGAGACCGATGGTCATATCGATTGTGAGATCGATGGAATGAAATATATCGAGTGATATCGACTGTGAGATCGATCGAGTGAGATCGATCGAGCGAGACCGATAGCGAGACCGATAGTAAGATCGATAGTGAGACCGATCGAGTGAGACGCTGGTTCCTCCCCCCCGAACGTCCTTACCACCCGAAGGGTGGTCGTATAGGTAATGTTATTCGGTATCCTTCATCCATGCTTCTTTTTCCTCATTTTCGCCATACCCTGGGCATTCTCCCCATCCTCCTCAGCTCTTTTTTGCGGAGGCTCCTCCTTGGACAGCCTCTGGGGGTCTCACACAAGTTGTTTTAGGTTTTATTAAGGCCTTCTGGAGGCCTCCTGGGCGTATTCTGGGGGCCTCCGGGGGTTTCCTCGGGCCACCCTGCATCCAACCGCGGTCTCCCTGAACGACCGGGTCACGATTTCGAATGCTTCGGAGGGTGTCTTTAGGCCATCTTGGTCGGCCATGGGGCTCTCTGAGGGCCATCTTGGACCCGTGTTGTGCCGTTTTGGGGCTCGCTTGGACTGCCTGAAGCCCTTTCGGATGGTTGTGGGGCGATTTTGGAGCCTCCCAGGCGGCTTCGGACGCCCAGAAGACCGCCGTCTTGGAGCGTCGGGAAGCCGAAAAGAGGAGAACCCCGAAATTCACCAAAAACCAACAGAAAATCAATGATTTTTGCCTCGGGGGGCCTTCTTGGAAATGCTCTTGGAGCTCTCTTTGGGGCCGTCCTGGAGGCCTCTTGGGCCATCTTGAGGTCACGTCGGTCACTCTTGAAACGCTCATGTGTTGTCTTGGGGTCTCTGGGACGTCTCCGATGACCTTAGGTGTGCTGGGAAGGCTTGGCAAAACGCCCTGCGAGGATCTGGGGGCCGCTTCGAGGCCCGTCCGGAGGGTCCCAAATTCCAGATCCCGGGAGTCCAGGTTTGGGGGGAGGGGGGACGGGTTTTCCCCCCCGACCAGGCTTGTAAAAATAGTGGAAGAGGATTCGATACATACATACACACACATATATATATATATATATATATAACCATGAACCTCGGAGAATAAACCCCCAGGGATAGTAAAGTTCGGGGTTTTCGGGGAGATAATAAAAGTTGCCCGCCAGAGCCAGCATAAAAGAGATATCAAGAGGAAAAAGCCAAAGATATCTTGAGGATTGTCTCGGTTGAGACATCCTTAACGAATTGCTTGTTTCGCTTGAGACATCCTCGAAATGTTTGTCTGTTTCGCTTGAGACATCTTCAAATGATTGCTTATTTCGCTTGAGACATCCTTGAGGGAGGAGGAGGAGGAGAAAGAGCAAGAGGAGGAGAGGAGACAAACATCCAAAGTTTAAAACTTATTAGATTTAATTTGTAAACGCTTGATGAACATTAAAACTTTAATCTGCTCGTGTAGGGTAGCTCACGCGCCTCGTTTTCCCAGGATAATCAACCCCAGCGATAAACAAGTTCAGGGCGCCAGAGGAAGGAGGAGGAGAAAGAGATAGAGAGACAGAGAGAGAGACAGAGAAAGAAAGAAAGAGAGACATAAACAACTACAAATAGACAGAAGGACATCGGTTTCGCTTGAGACATCCTTGAGGGAGGAGGAGGAGAAAGAGCAAGAGGAGGAGAGGAGAAGGAGATAGCAAAAATCCAAAGTTTAAAACTTATTAGATTTAATGTGCAAGCGCTTGATGAACATTAAAAATTTAATCTGCTCGTGTAGGGTAGCTCACGCGCCTCGCTTTCCCAGGATAATCAACCCCAGCGATAAACAAGTTCAGGGCGCCAGAGGGAGGAGGAGGAGAAAGAGATAGAGAGACAGAGAGAGAGAGAGAGACAGAGAAAGAAATAAAGAGAGACATAAACAACTACAAAGAGACAGAAGGACATCGGTTTCGCTTGAGACATCCTGAAACAACGTGTTCGCTTCGCTTGATGTTGTTATCTCAACATAAGAAGGAAGTAACCTCGATGGCGAACTTTTCCCGTGACAATGAAGTTCGGCCTCCGCGCCCCCGCGCCCCCGACCAAACTCTTATTGGTCGATGATAAAAAACTCTAAGTACTTAAAGGGGGGTACATTATTATCGTGGGCATGGGGTTATAGAGATATGCACATATATACATATACATTCCTCTTCCTATATTTCTATAAGCCCGGGCGGGGGAAAACCCGTCCCCCCCCCAAAAAAACGGACTCCCAGGTTTTGGGGCTTTGGGACCCTCCAGACGAGCCTCGAAGCGGCCCCCGGGCCTCGCAGGGCGTTTTGCCAAGCCTTCCCAGCTCACCTAGGGCGATCAGGGGGGTCATCGGAGACGTCCCAGAGACCTCCAAGACAGCTCAAGAGCGCTCCGAGAGTGACCGACGTGACCTCAAGATGGCCCAAGAGGCCTCCAGGACGGCCCCAAAGAGGCCTCCAAGAGCACTCCCAAGAAGGCTCCCCGAGGCAAAAATCATTGATTTTCTGTTGGTTTTTGATGAATTTTGGGGTTCTCCTCTTTTCGGCTTCCCGACGCTCCAAGACGGCGGTCTTCTGGGCGTCCGAAGCCGCCTGGGAGGCTCCAAAATCGCCCCACAACCATCCGAAAGGGCTTCCAGGTAGTCCAAGAGAGCCCCAAAACGGCACAACACGGGTCCAAGATGGCCCTCAGAGAGCCCCATGGCCGCCCAAGATGGCCTAAAGACACCCTCCGAAGCATTCGACATCGTAACCCGGTCGTTCAGGGAGACCGCGGTTGGAGGCAAGGTGGCCCGAGGAAGCCCCCGGAGGCCCCCAGAATACGCCCAGGAGGCCTCCAGAAGGCCTTAAGAAAGAAAGCCTGAAACAACCTGTGTGAGGCCCCTAGAGGCTGTCCAAGGAGGAGCCTCCGCAAAAAAGAGCTGAGGAGGATGGGGAGAATGCGCAGGGTATGGCGAAAATGATGAAAACGAAGCATGGAGAAAGGATAACTAACATTATTATAGCTGCGTTGCCGGAATCGGCAACCAGGAGTTATCGCTAAATTGCCGGCTTGACCTTCCTGCTATTCCGCTTGCGTACCAAATTTTTGAAGGACCAAGGTGCATGGCGCGAAGCGCCATTGCAGTCTCGCGTGTATATATATATATATATATATACATAAATAGATGTACACATTTCAGATTCCCCAATCATTGCTTGCACTGAAGGTGCCTAGTGGAAGTTGCAAGATTTGGCGAACGTTTCCCGCCGATTTTGGTGGCCGGCTGGGTTCCCGGGTTCCCGGTTCCGGGTTCCCGGGTTCCTGGTCATTGGTTCCGTGCCGATTCGGTGGGTTCCAGGTTCCCAGGTTCCCGGGTTCCCGGTCGATCTGTTTATCGATCTGTTCATCGATCCCATTTCAAACCATCCTTTAATTGGGGTTTTCTTCTGGTGGAATATATAGTTATACATATATATATACACACATGATGGGCCTGTTGTCCACCACCACAAGTTGGAGGAGGGAAGGAGGTGGATGATGAGGGGGAGGAAGAAGACGGGGAGGGGGACCCCCTCCGCCCTCCAACTGGTGGAGGTGGTGGAAAATAGGCCCATCAACAAGTCTGGAGTAGGGTGCTATCACCGTGGATGCCATCGTGAGATGTCCAGCATGCGGACAGCGCTATAGGCCAGCGGGGGGGAGACGTCTTCGAGCTGCTTCCCGAGCGGATGATGCACTGGGCTCGCCCCGGCAGACGTGCGCCCGATCCTTTTCTCCTCTCCGTCTCTGCCCCCTACATGATGAGCCTGTTTTCCACCACCTCCACCATAAGTTGGAAAGGGGGAGGAGGAGGAGAAGGAGGAGGACGAGGAGGACCCCCTCCCCCTTCAACTTCTGGTGGTGGTGGTGGTGGTGGTGGAAAGCAGGCCCATCGCTGGAGCGCGGTTCCGCTTTTTTGACGAGCAGGCTCGGGCGACCAGCGCTGCAGCAGGCGCCCAGAGGAGGCGCCCGACTCAGCCGGGCACCTTGGGGAGCTGCGCAATACGCCGCGCCGCCGGCGCCGCGAATTCGGATGCGCTGCCCCTCGCGCAGAGCACGTCATGCAACAGGAGCAGGGCTTGCCCCCGCGCCGGCAGCCGCTCCCTTCACCCTGGGCACGCGCTCCCAAGCGCCTCCGCTGGCGTCGCTGCGCTGGCGCCGCTGGCGCGATTGCACACAACCGGAGCGACGCGGTCAGCTTTAAGTCGGGCCTGTCTCCCTACAGGATAAACATTCCAAAAGGGTCAAAAGATAGTCTGGGGACGATGTGTTGAGCATTTCTTTGCTATCTTCGAATATGTTTTGAGCAAGTTTAATTTTTCGCTCAGGATCCGCCTGTAGGAGGACATGCCCGACCGAAGGTTAGCTTGTCTTCGCAGTAAACGTTTCGTTCGATCGTGTGCTGAGGGGTGTGGCAGGCCATTTTGCACGGCCCCATCCTGCCCGACCTCGCTCAGCGACGCGTGGGTGGACATGGTGCAGCAGAACGCTCTTCAAAACTGTTGGGCCGCGCGTGGTCACTGGTGTCACGGAGGGAGATCGATGGAGCTTGGCGTCCGCCGTCTGGCGGGATTCTCGGAGTGGTGTGTGGTTTTGTGCGCCCCGCTGCTCTCCGCCTCGCTTCTCCACGACCGGTCTTGGCTCGACACATCTTCGGATGCAACTCCTGGGAGGTTGAATTCTGACTTTGCCCTGGTCCAAAATTCAGCTTAACCTGGCTTAATCCCGCTCAATCTGGCAGAATCCCACCTACTCCGTAATCCTGCTTAATCCCGCTTAATCCGCGGCCTAATCTGGCGTAACAGTCCCCCGACGGGGCTTCATCCTCCTTCATCCTTCCGACGAAGACATCCCAGTGTTGGGACGCGCGTCAAGAAACCATATGGTTTTCGTCAGGGTATCCTGGGTTTCTTCGCTCCGCGCTGCGCGGCGACTTCCTGCGGCCGTTGAAGGAGCTGCTGCGTTTGGAGTGCTCCAGGTTTCCCCTCCGGTGCACTTCGCGCGGGGCGTTTCAGGGTTGGGTTTCTTGCGAGGGTTTCTTGCGGCCGCGCCCGCATTGTAGTTGCCTCCTAACACCTCGCATGTTCTTCCTTGCGGAAGCAGGGCGCCGTCGCACCGTGCGGATGTCGGGGGTGCGGGGCCCCGCGGGCCTCGCCCCCGTGTGGTCGCAGCGAGCGCTGTTGCGCGCGAGTGCGTTCATCCGCTCCAGCTGTATTCGAGCGCCACGCGAGGGCACGGGGGTACGGCTGAGGAGAGACATTCCGATGGTCAGGAGTTTGCGGAGGTTGAACTGGGTGGAGAGATTGGGGTGGACGACAGAGGCTTGTCTGCGGATGCAGCTCCTGAAAAGTCAGATTCTGACTTGCCCTGGTCCGAAATGCGGCTCAGCCCGGCTTAATCCCGCTCAATCCGGCTGAATCCCGCAAAATCCGGCTAAAACCCGCTTAATGCGCGGCCGATTCTGGCGTAGCAGCCCCGCAATGGGGCTTAATCCTCCTTACTCCTGCCGACGAAGACCTCCCAGCAGCTGCCTCCGAACTTGTTGGAGGGAAGAGTTGCGGATGAGAGGGGCAGGGGTGAAAGGGGCAAAGGCAGGAACGCTGTTGGTGACTAGAGCTGTGGTCTCAGGTGCAAGTAGCCCAGCCGGTCGAAGTGCGCGCTCCCAATCCTCGCAAAGGCGATCCCAACGACGCCATTGTCGCCGGCTCAGCATGCTCCTCCCGCCCCTCTCCCGTCCTTCATCTCTCCAGAGCCTCTGATCCCTTTTCCATCCTGGCCATGCGTTCCTCTGTCACTCAATTTGTTCGTCCCTCGACTGGTCTCCTCCCTCCCTCCACATGAGTATCTCGCTTCTCTCGTACAGCGAAGTGCACAATGTTATTGCGAGTGATTGCCTCGTCTATCCCTGGTACGTCCTCAGTGGTTCCCTGCCGCCCTCGACCTCGTAACATGTGAGCGACGCAGACAGATGGGGTCGTATTCACCGACTTTTGCGAATCAGTTGCCCGCGTACGGTCGCGCGTAAACGCCCTTGTTTCCATTGTGGCGTGTCAGGCTGGCGGCCCGCGTAAACCGCCGCGTAAGGTCGCTATGCCATCTAGACCTGTTTCGTGGCGTCGCTCGTGTGTGATTTCGCGACAGACGATGCACCAGCCCTGGTCGGGAGTGTGTTCTTCCTTTTGGAATGTTTGCGGTCGGGTGGAATGAATGTCGCTCTTATCCCAGTGGCGGCCACCCGTTTGTCTTGGTGGCGTGCGCCATTCCGATGAATTTCCAGAGGGGGGGGGGTCGTGGCGGTGTTCGCCTGGGTGTCGTTCGGAGGGACACGTGGATCAGGAGTACGAGCAGGATGACGCTCAGATGAAGGAGGAAGTTTGGGAGATGGAGTGCATCTGCGGCGTGACCGGCGGGAAGGCAGAGGGGACCAGCCTTCTCAGGAGGCGGCAGGGTTTCTCAGAAGCCTTCGCGCCTCCTGACAAGCAGTCTGTGGCTTCGGATGAACAAGGTGGTCGGGCCTCTGAGAAGCCCCGCCGCTTCCTTTCATGATGGGGAAAACACAGAGACACAAAATTGTTGATTCACCGAAAATATTCGAAAATATGGAAAGTGGGGGGAAGACGAAATTTGAGAAAGCATGGGAAGATGTTAGGAATCCTGGGATTTGTGTCTATTCACTTGTGTGTCCCTGAGCCTTTATTCTTAGAATGCCGGCCCATTCTGCCCTCCCCTTGGAGGGCCGCCGAGTGAGAGAGGGGCATGAGCCCAGAATGGCCCTCCGTGTCTTGGCATGTACGTCTTGTCATGCGCTTACTTCGACTACACGTAAGAGTGACCTTTCGTCGGAGTGATCTTGGTTGCGTGTCTAATGGGGTCCGCCCCGATCGCTGAACGCGAACCGGTAGCAGCGGCTTGCTCGCCTGGGTTTGGCCACCCCGCGTCCCCCGTGAAACCGCGCACCAAAGGTCACTCTTGCCTAGGGTCACTCTTCCATGTAACCGAAAGAGGGGCATGCGCCTCGTATGGCCCGCCGTGTTCTTCCCTGCCGGTCTTGTCGTGCGCTTGCTGGGCCGAGGAGCTGCTCGACGGACCTGCAGCTCTGGCGCGCGTCCGCCCGAATGCAGGGGGGCCATCTGATGGTCTACAGTCGGGGCGCTGAAGAAGGAACCCTTTTAGTTGGGGAGGGGCTCCGTGTTCCTTGATTGTTTAACAGCTTGCCTTAGGTTTCCCTTAGGTTTCCGATGGGAAATCGAATTTTGAATTGATGGGAAAAAGGGGCCTCGTTCCCTATTTAGGTTTCCTTAGGTCAACGTCCCGACTGTACTTGGCGCCCCGCCCCGGCACTCCTGTGTCCGCTCTGGACTCCTCTCCCCGCTTCTTCTCACCGGGCGCGTTCCACTACCCGCACAGTATCTACTCGCAAACGTCCGAAAACATGCCCGCTTGGGTGTAATTTATCGTAGATCCTCCGCGGCGGATGCAGGCCATTTGCGAGTAGCTACTTTCCGAGTAGTGGAACGCGCTCGTCTAGCTCTTTCGGTGCCCTCGTGGCGCCCCGCGAGTGGGCGAACCCGTCGCCACCGATCGGGGACCTCCTCTCAAGTGCCGTGTTTTGCCCGCAGTGAGGGGGAGGGCTGGACCTAAACAGTGTGTTTGGCGATTTCGCGTGCCGTTTTCGTTTCGACTTCGTTTTGCAGTAAAGGCGGATTCGAGACCAAAGCGAGGGACAACGAAAACAAAACGAAAATGAAAAGCACCTTTTGGGTTCAGCCTTGGTGAGGGGGAGCAGGTTGGGGAGTCGGCAGGGGCTAAGACGAGGATAAGTCGTTCCAGAGCGTTTTCGAGCGCTCTCTGAGCGTTCCGGAACGCTCTGAGAAGGCCGCGGCGCCCGAGACATCCCCCAGAGCCGCCAGATCTCAGAGATTTTCGATCGATTCTCATCTGAGTTTGTCCTCTTGGTTTCGCCGTGTTGTTGGCCTTGATCATTGGCACCCGATCGATCGATGAGACCCCAGCCGCCCCCTGCCTGTTGATCCGACTGGTCCCGACCAGCGTTCTCAAGGCACCCAGCGTCGGTGCTCGATTGCTCTGTGATGGGAGGCGTTTTGTGGTCTCAGGACCCTCCCTGGTGCGAAGCCGCACACGGTGCCTGCGCTGGTTCGAGCGACTTCTCTCAGCCAGGCCCACCGCCGCTTCAAGCTCCCTCCCGAACGTGTTCGGGCCAACTGATGTTCGCCAATTCCTCAACGCGCCCCCTCTTGTGAGCGATAGCGCGCGTGCGTGTGTGTGTGTGTGTGTGTTGGTGTGTGTGTGTTGTGTGTGTGTTGTGCGTGAGTGTTGTGTATTGTATATGTGTGTGTGTCTGTGGTGTGTATGTGTGTGAGTGAGTGTGTGGGTGGGGGGCAGGGCAGGGGGGCAAGAAGCGGTGTCATGCATGCTCGCCGCTGTTGTGAAAGCAGGTTCAGATCACCTTCCCGCTTCCTGCCAATCGTCTTCGATGGACGCACCGTCTGCTCGGCGGGATGTGAGGTGTTCAGCCTGATCTCCAACGTGAGCACCGTGGAGCGGCGCGTGAAGCTGGTGCCGCGGCATCTTTGGTCGCCTCCCGCGGCCCAGCCCTCGTCTTCCCTACCCCTCCTCGTCTGGGGCTATGATGTTCCAACCTACTTTAACTTTGACCACCAGGAAGAATTTCCAGCACCAAGAAGGTACCGAAACTCGAGGGTTTGGGTTGTTACGTGTCGGGCCCTGGGAGACACTGTTTCGACACTGTTTCGATACTTTTCCAGGTGCTCGAAATTATTTCTGGGATGTGGTCAGTAAGTACGATGGGAGCAACGTAAGCCTGGGGCAACGTAAGGGAGGGGAGGGGCTTTGGCTCATGGGGAAGGCGTCGACCCCCAATCGCACTTCGTCGCCGATAGGGGCCCGATAGCCCAACCCGCCCAGGAACGTGCGGACCCGCTATCGGGGGCCCATCGCCGGTCCGTCGGCGATGCATCGCCACATCCAGGTCGATATTCCCTCCCCCTGAGCCGGTCCCACCATGACGTTCCCTTCACCCTCTTCCTCCAGCAGCACGTGTCATCGGGCGTTCTCTGGCCCTGCGCGCCTGGCTGCTGCTGCCCCCCTGGTTGCCCATCGTCGAACTCTTCGACGTCTGAGCGTCTCTTCTTCCTCTCACCGTCCCCCCCCCTTCTTTGCCCGCCGGCCAATTTGCTTGTTAATGCCCCTATGCAGCTTCTCGCTGGAGCGGAGTTCGCCGCCCCGTCGCTGACGGAACACGTGTCATTGAGTCATCGGGCGTTCATCGACGTGTCGATGACGATGCCCCAGCGGCCGTCCTTGAACATCGCTGCTCCTCTCCCTGCGCTGTTGTTCCACGCCACCGTCTGCCCCCCCGACGTCTGCAGAGCTTCGTGAAACCGTGTTGCCGATCGTTGGACGTTGCCCCCCCTTACATGGCACCGACATTCTTTTACGGCGTGCCACCAGGAATCATCCCATCACTGTTCCACCGACCGCCGCAAATGCCCCATCATGAAAGGAACTCCGAAGCGATCTGGAGGACGGAAAAGGTGGTGCGGGCGAATGCAGCGGCGCCAGCTGCAGGCGCTCCTGGGGCAGATTCTGGACCCGCTGGCCTTCAACGAGCTCCGCTCCCAGCGGCAGCTCGGTTATGTGGTTCAGGCCAGTGGCGGGCGCATGCTGGGCGAGCTGCGCTGCGCGCGCCAATCTCTGGTCCCTCCTCTTCCCTCTCATGCATCTTCCGTTTTCCCTCCTGCTCCTTGCTCTTCTCCTTTCTGGCCTCCTCACTCTTCCTTCCTTCTCGTCCGCCCTCCTCTCTCACCGATCTCTTCTCCTGCTCCTCGTGCCACTTTGTCCGCCAACCACCCGTTGTCCCCCGCTCGCCCCCTGTCGCTTGCGTGTCCCCCATTCCCCGCGCACACCACTTGCCCCTCGCCCCTCCCCTGCCCTCGCCAACTTCGATTGAACGAAGGCAATCAAAAGCCGGACGATCAAATCACGTCGATGCAGTTGCTCGTCAGCATTGGGTTGATGCATCGTCCTCTGCGGAACTCTTGCGAGCCAATCTGGCCCCCCCTTCGCCCTCGCTCTTTGCGCCCACCTCGAGGAGGAGGAGGAGGGGAAGGAGGAGGAGGAGGACGATGAGGAGGAGAAGGACGAGGATGAGGAAGAGGAGGAGGAGGAGGAGGAGGATCGACTCCGAGGCGTCACTCGGCCGTCCCGACCGCTTCTTGGACTCGAGCGAGCCAGGCTGGCCTGGTCAAGCGAGCCAGGCTGGCAAAATCTCCGACGGAGCGCTTCTCGCTGATGGGCAGATGTTTCACCGCTTCTATCAAAGGTAGGAGGGGGAGAAGGAGGAGGAGGAGAGGGAGGGGGAGGATGAGGAAAAGGCAAAGGAGGATGAGGACCTCCCCATGCTCCCTTCTCCCCCGTCCTGCCTATGGTAGCGGTGGCGGGAAATGGGCCCATCACCCCGCACCTCCCTTCGCCGGCTTCCTCCTGCTTTGCCCTCTTCCCCCCCTTCTGGGGTGAGCGTCATGGAAGCGTCTTGAGCTGTCTTCGGCCGTCTTGAAATCTTTTTTTGGCTATCTTTGATGAAACTTTTCAGGCCGTCTGAAGCTGACGATGGCCCGAAATGCCGAGAATGCGAGCATCCATCACACACATTGGAAACCAATCTGTTAGACCGCATCGGGTCCTCGTGGACATTTTCTTGGAGCCCTCTCGGGTCCTGGTGAACATTTTCTTGGAACCTTTTCAGGCCGTCTGAGAGGCATCGTCGCCCGTTTTGACGCAATATTGGGCTTGCCATGGAAACGATGGTGATGACGATTACGAGTGCGATGACGATGACGATAACGATAACGATACTGATGATGATGCTGATGATGATGATGCTGCCTGATGCGGATGCTTATGATGCTGATATTTATATTGATGATGTTGATGATGATGGTGATGATGAGTATGATAATGTTAGTGATGATGACGACGATGATGATGATGACCATGATGACAATGACGATGATGCTGACGACGATGGCGATGCCGATGAGGTCGAGTGTGATCATTCTGGTGGTGGCGGTGGTGACGACGATGACGATGACGACGACGTCGATGATGATGATCATCATGATGATGATACTGATGATGGTGATGGTGGTACTGATGATGAAGATGTGGATGCTGATGGTGATGGTGATGACGATGACAACGATGATGCTGATCATGATGCTGATGATGCTGATTATGATGATGAGGATTCTGATTATGATGATGATGATGAGGAGGAGGAGGAACATGATTATGTTGATGATGATGCTGATGAGGATGATGAGGATGATGGGAATGATGATGAGGATGAGGATGAGGATGAGGATGAGGACGAGGATGAGGATGAGGATGAGGATGAGGATGAGGATGAGGATTGGGATGAGGATGAGATGATGGTGGTTGTGGCGATGGTGGTGGTGTTAATGATGAGGAGGAGCAGGAGGAGGAGGAGGAGGTGAAGCTGCAGCAGGAGGAAGAGGAGGGCGTCTCATGTGACACATTTTGTCTTCACGATTGGAATATCTCTGATGGAACTCGTTTTAGCCGTCTTGGGCCTGTCTTGGCCTCATGTGAGGCAGTATTGGCGCTATCTTGGGCCGTCTTGGGGCTCTTACGCTGTCCTGGGGCTCTCATGAGCCGCTTTGGGGGGCCCTCTTGGCCGTATGGCGGGTGTCTGAGGGCCGTCGTTTGGCCGTCTGGGCACCGTCTTGGGCCCCCGATGGGCAGTTTAAGGCCGTCTTGGGTCTCACCGGACTCGCGACCCCTCGGTCGGGACGTGTCCAGATTCCGACATCGCTTATGGGGCCAAGGTGCCTACCCAGACCCCCTCGGGCCATGACGGAAATCACGACGGACGGTTCTTGCTAGGTTTCGGCTTCTGGCAGCCCTCGCCAGGGCCCTCGGCCGCCATAGAAACGGCTCAGAATGAAAGACTGTTCCCGGGGAATGGTCGAGAACTCTGGTGGTCCACGTTAAGAACAAGCATATGACGTCGGGGGTCTGGGTAGGGTGCAATTCCTGGGATGTTGAAGTCTAAGTCGTCGCTGGCATATCCATTGTCGGAAACTGGCCTAGTCCCGTTCGGTCCAGCTTAATCCCGCGTAATCCGTGCTAAATCCGTTTGGCTTACTCCCGCTTGATCCGGCATAATCCCGATCGCCTAACCGATCCCGATCCCCATTCCAGCTGGTCTAAGCCTCCCGAGGAGATGGGGTCGGACGATTCCGCCGCATCGCCGATGCATCGGCGATGCGGCTCGATGTGGAGTCCGATTTCCTCCACGCCGACGTCGCCGACGCATCGCCGACCTCGCCGATGCGGCGCGATCCTCCGACATCATCTCCTCCGATCTCATCTGGCAGCCCCGTGATCTGACCATGGTATCTCAGCCTCCTTGACTCTCCTCCCCTGACGGTGATTATTCTACCCAGACCCCCGACGTCATGATTTTGTTCACGACGTCGACACCCAGAGGCCTCGATCCATTCCCCTGGACTGGTTGTTAATTCTGAGTTGTTTTTTGACGGTCTCGAAGGCCGGGAAGGGCGCCCAGAGGCCGAAAATAGCCACGCACTTCCCGTCATGATGTTTTCATTGCCCGAGGGGGTCTGGGGTACCCTGCACCCCCCCCTTCTCAGACGCCTCGTGTCTCGGAGCATGGCGTGGAGGCATGCGCGGGGAGCGCCCGGGGAGGCGGGCATGTCGCAATTCTCCAACGTGCTCGCGATCAATTGCCTCGTGCAGAGCACCTCCCTGGGGGCCGACCAGCTGGAGGCGCGCGGTGCGCCGCAGTCGGTCAACAAAAACACAAATATATCAAACGTAAACAAACAAACTAATCATAATAACATGTTTGAAAGCCTCAGAGAAGCATCTGAGAAGACAATGAAGAGCTCCTGAGAAGCCTCCGAAAAGCCTTCGAGAGCCTACTGATGAGGACGAATGCCCAGACCTCCTGGCTCCGCGAAACAGGTGTCGACGGCAGAGTACTGACCTTTTTCGAGTCCGTGAGCAAAGTCGACACGGGACGACTGTGGATGCTGTTCAAGGTTTGTGGGACAATCTACGCGGTGCAATGAAGTACTGTTCGCAGAGAGTTCTCCAATCCATTGCTCGCACAATCATCCCACCCACCCGCAACTTGAGTGATAAACGAGTGCGCGCGCATAGTATTTTCTGCAGAGGATGGAAGGGGCCACGATACCGGCCTGCCTGGGATGGTACGACATCATATGTAGGATGGGCGATGGGGCACAGTCGTGTGTAAATTGCGATGCGAAAAGGGGTCCCGTTAATTCCTGGAAGGGGGGGAGATCCTTATATTTTCTTAGAATGGAGAATCTACGTTGTGCAGTTCAGGGCGGCAAGGCGGCGACGGGCTTTATTTTGTTGCAGAGGACGAGGGGGGGCGATACCGGCTTGCCTGGGATGGTACGAGTTCAGATTTAGGATGGCCGATGGGGCAGAGTCGTATGCAAAAATTTGCTGGGCGAAAGCGGGTCCCGTTAGTTCCGGGAGGGGGGTGGGGTAGATCCGAATATTTGTTCAAGAGAATTGATGTTGTGCGATTGTGGGCGGAGACCAGGCGGCGAGAGGCCAGCGAAGGCGGCGACGGGGCAGCGACGGCGGCCACATAGCCGCCAGACCGACAGACACAACCCAGACGACGGGCGGCGACGAGGCGCCGACGGGGCGGCGGCGGCGGCCACATAGCGCGAGACAGAGGACGCGGCCCAGTTCCTCATAACAGAATTTTAACGCCTTGGGGAATGCGCGAAAAGACCGGAACTGAGGAAGCACAGTTTGGGGAATGTGGGAAAAGATCGGAGGAAGAGAGGAAAGGCACATCCAGGAACTACGGGACAATAGTGGGAGTCCCGGGAGTTGTGTCGATTTATTTGTGTCCCCCTGGGACCCCCCTAGGAGGGGGATCACGGCCGACCGCAACCACTTCACACTCGATTTCGAAGTTCCTACTAAACCTGAGGTGCCCCTAAGGGATTTCGGCATGCGCAGGCGACGACGCGCGCGTGTGCAGTGAGTCCAATTTGTTGCGACGGATTCTTGCGACAGCTCGCGCGCAAGAGTGTTCGAACGATTCCGACGCGCGCGCGAGAGGCCGGTTTGGTAATTAGTCAGTTGTGATAATGTTGAAGCATATTTTTGGGTGTCTTGAAGAATTCGCAAGGGCCCGAGCGCATATTTGGTTTGAAATGTATTGTCTGTTGCGAAACCATTCGCTTTATTCGGGGGCGGAAAAGAAGGGGGTGATGATTAGGGGGGGGGGGGATATCATGGCGGGGGCCATGATCTTTCCCCAGATTTCATGGCGCCTCTTCTTATTTCGTTACGTCCCTGGCCCCCCCGCTTGGCCGCGCACATGCCGCCGGTCATGATTTGCACCCCCCCTCTTGGACACCCCCCTCTTGGCCGCTCCCGATTTATATGTGTTAGGGAGATTCGGTTTTGAAGTTTTGCGGCACCTTTTTGTTGCCTGGTTTTGCTTCATTTGTTTAAAGAATCCGGCATGCATGCGCGACGACGCGCGCGTGTGTTTTTCGTCCCATTTGTTTTGCAAGGGGTTCTTGAGCATGGATGATTTTTCATAAACGAGTGCGCGCGCGGAGATTCTCTGCAGGGAATAAGAAGGGGGAGAATACTGGCCATATTGGGATGGTATGACTTTATATTCCAGATGTAGATAGCAATGGGAAAATGGGTCCCGTTCATTTCGGGAGAGGGGGGAAGATCTGAATTTTCTTTGAGAACGGAGAGTTTCCGTTGTGCAATTCAGGGCGGCGACAAGGCGGCGACGGGCATAGCACTTTTTGCAGAGGTCGCGGGGAGGGCGGGCGATACCGGTTTGCCTGGGATGATACGAGTTCAGATTTGGGATGGACGATAGTGGCAGAACCGTATGTAAGTTGCAAAGCGAAAGCGGGTCCCGTTAGTTCCTAGAGGGGGGGGGTATATTTGTTCTCATCAAAAAGGGAACCTGTGCTGTGCCATGTAGGGCGGAGACAAGGTGGCGACGGGCCGGCGAAGGCGGCACAATAGCCGCCAGACCGACAGACACAACCCAGACGACGGGCGGCCACGAGGCGCCGACGGGGCGGCGGCGGCGAGGGCCACATAGCGCGAGACAGAGGACGCGGCCCAGTTCCCCATACCAGAAGTATGAGCCCTAGCGTGCAATCACTGTGTGGGGAATGTGGGAAGAAATCGGAAGCACAGAGGAAAGGCCCATCCAGGAAATATTGGAACATAGGTGGAGCCCTTGGTATTTGTGTCCCCCTTGGCCCCCCTAGGACGGGGATTACGGCCGACTGCAGCCACTTCGGACCATTCATAAATTACGTGGGGCGGACTACGACCACCTGGAAACATATTGATTTCCGATTTCCCATTTCTAAAGCTACAGGGAGAAACTCCAGATAACATCCACCTGAAGAGTTTGGGGAGGGGGGGGGCAGGGAGAGGAGGAGGAGGAGGAGAAGGAAAGGGAGGGGAAGGAGGATGAGGAGCAGGATGCTCCGAAAGCGCATTGAGGCTGCCATCGAGTATGTGCTCACGAAGTTGATGATCGAGCGTCTGCACACGCTGACCGCAAAAGATTTCCTAGGCAATCGGAGCAGGGAGTGGCCATGCCGCATTCGAAGCTATGGGGTGACAGGAGAAAAGTGATGGACAGAGCGCGCGTGAGAGAGAGGAAAACAGAGAGAGGTAGAGAAATGAGGAAGAAGGATAAACATATATGGTATCCCCCACATGATCACATGATCATACATGCTCCTCCTCATCCTCGATCGTTTCTTCTCCGTCTTCTCCGTCTATCTCTCTCTCTATCTCTCTCGCTCTCTCTCTCTCTCTCTGTCTCGCTCTCTCTCCCCCTCTCTCTGATTGTATTTTCCCGAGACAGATTCTTCCAACACGTTGTGTGTTCCAGGTTTCCCAGGTTTTCCCAGACACTGATCGTTGAAACACGCTGTGTTTACCAGGTTTTCCAGTTTTTCAATGTTTTTCCAGACGCTGACAGTTGAAAAACGCTGTGTGTCCAGGTTTTCCAGATTTTCCAGGTCCCCGCCCCGAGCAATCTTCTTCATGGCGGCCACGGCCCTTGTCATGTGCATGTCGTAGCCCGGCGATGCGAAAGTCTGGTCTTTCTTGAAACGCTTCAGGATATGGGGTGGTCTCGGGCGTGAAGAGGTCTGGCTTCTCGGGAAGTGGCCATGGGAAGCGGGGAACTGGATCCGTAGTCGTGGACCCCAGCCACAGGTAGATCCATCCCTCAGTGAGCAGCACGATGTTGGACCTCTCCAGGTACGCCTCCACGCCCGTCGTGTGGGTAGCCGCTCTGCTTCTCGCCCGCGAAGTTGCTATCGATGATCTTGAGGAAACCGTCGAATGTGATCTCTTCCTTGCCCCTGCGGATGGAACGCACCTTCCTCTCGAACTTCCCATCGTACGGGTTGACGCAGATCTGGCGGGTCTGGTTCTGCTCGAAGGAGGCGCCACCCCACCCATGCAGCGCGCGGAAAACGACACGCGTCAAAACCTACATGCAAAAACATTGGCTTGCCGCCGTTTGGTGTGTCATGGTTTCTTTGCGATGTCGTGCGTTATCCGCGCCTTGCGGCCTCGCCCGCAACAGCGCGTCTCCCTTGGCGGGAGCAGTCGCTATTGCATGTCCGCCGCCTTTGGTGTTTAGTGGCGCTGGCGAAAAATATGCCCAAAGCCTTGGAGCACGCGAAGTTTTGGCACAGGTCCGCTTTCTCTCTCGTGAGCGCGCCCCCCGCCGCGGTCAGCTGCTTCTCCGCTTTCTGGCGCCGTTGTGTCTCTGCGGGGGGAGACGCGGGGCGCATGTTGTTGCTGTTGCGTTTCTAGTAGCCCTTGGCCTCCTTACAAGCGGTCTTCGCCTCGTCCTTCCAGGTCTGCGCTTCGTCCCGCGCGCTTTTGGCCTTCCGCATGTGCTGGCTGGAGCGTCCCCTGTGGACGCGCCACGAAACAAAAATACGCTATCTAGCGCCACACAGAAGCAGCGCGGCTCGGGAACACAATGTAACACCCGTGTGATATATTGTGTTTCCGAGTCGTGCCGCTTTTGCGTGGCACCAATTTGATGTTGGATTGTGGTGTATGTGCGTGTGTGTTTGACATCATGGTTCTCAGGGCGTTTTTTTCGCTGTGCTGCTCCGTCGTTCGGTGGACCGCCGCGCGGACCTTGTCAACGGCCGCGCGGCGGAAGGTCGCTACCAGTTGTTTGGGCCGTGGTTGTTGAAGGAACGCGCGAAGCCTCTGTTTGGTTTGGTTCCCCATGTGTTGCCCCAAGTTTTTGTAGTAGGCTTCGGTGTCTTTTGCTGGGATGCCGATGGCTCCAAGCAGTGGCGTTTTAGCGGGGCGGTGGGCCTAAACACCTATGTTTGCCCGTGGCACAGGTTGCACCCAGTTCCAATGTTTTTCTTCTCTCCAAGTGTTCATGAATTTCCAATTATTTTCCTCCTTCCTCGTCTTCCTTCTCGTCCTCGTATTCGTCCCCGTCCTCCTCCTCCTCCTCCTTCTCGTCCTCCTCCTCCTCCTTCTTCTCGTCCTCCTCCTCCTCATGCAAAGAAAGGCACGACCGGCAGCGGCAGGCGAGGACTACGATGAGGACGAAGCATAAAACACAAGAGGACTATTCCGAATACGAAGATGACGAAGAAGCTGAATACGACGAAAACCAAGACGAGGCAGAGGCACATACGCATAATATGAATACGAGCATGCGAAACTGTATGGTCATATGGGGGGACAAGCGCATGTATATATATATATATATATGTATATGTATATATACAAATTAGTAAAAAAAACGGGGCGCAAGAGAAACATGGAGAGACAGAGGGAAACACCCACCAACGCGCACGAGCGACTGCGCTCCCGGGGTAAGTTCTATCGGCACCCAGTGTCGTACACGATGCTCGGCGCGGTGTTGCACGCACGTTTCCCTCATCCAAGGTAGGTCTCAAGGGCTTAACCCTCTTCTTCCAGCCCTATAGTCGAATTGCTTTGTGACTGGGACGTTTCGTTTGATGTGCTGTCTTTTTGTCCGTAGTCATCTCCATGCTGCTTTTGGCAATCTGGTGACATGAAAGGGCGCTGGGGCAATGTTTCGGCTATCTTAAGGCAGTCTTGGTGCCAGGTCCGCAGGGGACCATCTCAGGACGAAATTGATTTGGGGCCGGGGATGCCTTTGGGCTGAAGTTCGCCGAGCCAGTGGCTTGCATCCTTCGCCTGCACGGCATTTCTCAAGGTGCCATGCTTTACAGACGACTCTTATGTCCACGGCGTTTGCATGTTGGTTACTTGGCCGTTTCGCGGGCGCTCCTGATGACAAGTTCTCGTTGCGGATGGCGCGTTCTCGCTGACGCGTCTGCGTTCTGTCACGATGGCGCCTCCCTTGGGATTGGCCACAGTGGCTTGTCTGCCAGGCACTGAGGGCCCTCTATTCGCCACACCCGTGTCCACTGACAACGCCGAACATGACATTGGGCAAGAAACGGACGGCCCATTGACGGAAGCATCGTGCGTGACGGAGTCCAATTTCACCCGTGTGCCGTTGTTGATTTGTAGTGTGCGCCGACGCAGGACTTCAAATGAGTGTTGACAACGGCGTACACATGGCACCCCACATGTTTGCGCAACCGCGCACAATCTCGTGTTGCGGTGTTGCCGTGCAAGGCGACAGAAAGGCCTTGCAATGTCCCAGCAACCATGTTTGGAGCAGGGTCGTAAACATGTCGATTGTGCCGCGCCGCGGGTGGTCGAAGCAGACTCCCAGTCACGATGTATGATGCTGAACTAATTTGGGGAGAATATCAGGAGCGGTGAATATGTGCTCGAAGGAGGTCGGGACAGTGTCTCAGGACCGATGAGCGTTTCCAGAATGGCCTGGGGCGGTGCCTTAGCAGGGATGACGAATGAGGGGATGATAGATGGGTGGGAACCTGAGACGTGACCAACGCTTTGACGGCGCCTCTCCCGAATAACCAATTCAGCATACACATACATTTCCGGAGGCCCACGCGGATTTATTGTGTTGGTGCTGGACACCTTTCTCTTGCGCGCGGAGCGCGCTGGGGGGCGGCGATGGAGGCGCCGCCAGTGGAAATCTGCCGCGACCCCAGAAATCCGCGCGGACTTACAGCAGTGTTTGTCTACACAATTGTTTTTGTTCGAGCTTCCTGCTTGTCCTCCCCCCCCTGTCCTGGTCCTGCTCCCCATCCGCCTTTTCTTCCGGTCCCCGTGGCGAGGCTACAAGGACTCCCTCCGGCAGATGCTTGTCCAGCCGCCAGCCTCCATTGGCGAGGAGATGGAGTTCTTCTGGGCATCGATCGTGAAGGGAGGCCAGCCCGAGGGCTCCCCTCTTGCGGAGGAGGCCTGGGCTCCGGGCGGATTGTTTTTCTCTTTTCTCCACCTCGGCCGCCCTGGGCCGCTCTGCTGTCCCCGGGGCCGTCGAGCATTGATCCCTTGACTGATCGTTGTCCCCAGGCAGCGGGTCGAGACAGCTGGGGCTCGAGGAGCGACAGTTCCATCCGGCGGAAGTTTCGGGGGAGCAGGGCGATTTCCCTCCCAGGAGGACGAGGAGGAGGAGGAGGAGGAGGAGGAGGAGGAGGAGGAGGAGGGAGGAGGAGGGGGACCTGAAACATATTCAAAACTAGTCAGGGGACGATTTGTTGTTTTTCATTTGTTTGTTTGATAACATTTTTTGCTATTTTGAATATTTGTTTTATGATCTTTCAGTTTTTGTCCAACATCCGCCTCTAGGAGGACATGCCCGACATAACGCTAGAGGGAAGGGGGGCGAAAGGCGAGGGTCGGGGGGAGAGGGCCGGGACGGGAGGGCAGAGGGAGAGGGGAGGGCAGCGGGAACAGGATGGGAGGGGAGTGGATGAGGCATGGAATGGGAAGGGGGGGGGAGGGATGGGAGGGACGAGGGGGGGTGGGAAGTGGGAGGGGGAGGGGAGGGGAGGGGGAGGGGAGGGGAGTCGGAGGGACAGCTATAGCAGGAGCATAATACAATTGTTCCAGTTATCACGGTATCTTGGAAGCTGAAGATTTTGGACAGCCGAGGGTATGTTACGAATTTCGAATTTCGAACCTCGATCGATCCTCGCTCTTCGATCGGCATTGATCGAATGTCAATTGATATATCATCGAGCAGCAGCAGGAAGCATTTTTCGAGGAAGCGAAAACATTGATTAAGTCGAGTGGATTAGCGACGGTTCTGGCTTCCATACGCCGTACGAGGTTGGCGCGTTCTGTCGCCAGATCGGGCGGCATTGGTGCCATGTTTCGGGGGCTGTGCTTCCCCCGCGGATCTGGCGCCCACGCTCCTGCTCCACGGATCCGGACTCCGTGTCAGCGGGGGCCCGAACGCGGGGACGGCCATCCATCGCGTAGGGCCTTTGCAGCGAGTGGCCTCTCCTGGAAGTGGGGAAGTTCAGGGCGGAGATGTATGCGGCCCCCCCCGCGGTCGTGGACAAGGAATGATCATCGAGAACAGAACCCCTAACCCGAAGACATAGCCTCATTTAGGTCCCCGTCTTCGCATCAGGGCTAATCAATCTGGGCGGTTTGGTCTGATACATCTGGAGCAACAAAGACGCTTATCCCTCATCACTCGATGGCCCTCCCAACTTAGGTCCCCTCCCAAAGGGTTAGAACGGTTAGGGGTACTTGTTTTGTTCGTTTCGAAGACGAACAACAGCACCATAAACATATACTTTTGGCGCTCCGCGCAGATTCCTTGGATCCGCGCTGGGCCCCCCCGGCAGCGCCTCCGGCGCCGCCTTCGGCGCGCTGCGCGCGCCAGGGAGGCGGGTCCAGCGCAGATCCAAGAAATCCGCGCCTAGCCCTTTCAGTTTATGTTTACGGCTTTTCCTCCCTCTTTCTGTTCCTTTTATTCGCAAGTGAGGGCCCCCCCCTCCGCCGTGCGCCACGTCCACCCCCCGAGCGGGATCAGACGACCCCCCCCCCCTCGGGCGCCGAAAGATCCCTGCCGAGGCTGCGCCTCTGCGCCGCCCAGGCCCGCGCCGCTGTCGGGCCCCGCGGTGAGGGGCCCGGAGGCCCTTTGCCGCTCCACGGTCCTGCCCCCCCCCCAGAAGGGAACCATTGGCACAGACTGTTTCGTCGGCGGCGAGGCGGCGAACTCCGCTCCAGCGAGAAGCTAGATAGGGGCACTGACCAGCGAATTGACCAGCTAGATAGGTGGGGTGGCCGAGAGGAAGAAGGGACGCTCAGACGACAACAACGTTTGGCACAAACACAAGAAGGCATGTCTTCCCAGACATGATCGCGTCGTAACAAGATGAGAACGGGAGGTTTTTTCGTCCGTTTCCGGCCTCGCCCTCGCCGGGCCTCGGGACCGTCAAGAAACGGCTCAGGATGAAAAGCCGGATCAGTGGAAAGGGCAGGGATTTCCAAGGGCACCGCATCGAATAAAAGCAGAACGTCGCATGTCTGGGTTGCCATGAAGAAAACAGCAGAAACGATTGTGGGACACAGGGGGGAGGTGAAGGTGGAGAGGCACTCTCTCCGGGAAGTGAGGAGCGCTACGGGAATCCGTGGCAGTTGTGTGCAGGTTTGGCCCCCCCATTCACCATTGACCGCCCCCCCACCTGGTCAGGGCCCATTTCGATTCCTCCGATTCGATCCGATGTCGATTTCGATGGCTTCCGATTCCGGTTCGATTCGATTTGGGATTCCGATTAGGGATCCGACTTCTCAATGGAGGCTCATTGAACTGCGGATGTCGGCCGATTCGGCTTTTCCTGACTCGGCTGCCGATGTCCGCCGATCCGATTCATTTCGATCGCCGATTCGACTTACCGATTCGATGCTGGGCTCTCCTGCCCCTGACCCCCCCCCTGGTTCCCCACGGCGCCGCGGGCACGCCCCCGCTGGACCACCTGCGAAGCTCCCTCCCTCGGGTGCACGAGGCCGGGCGCCCCGCGCACCCCCCCCCCCTTCCGCCTTCCCGCCGGGCCCCGCGCGGCGACGTCGGATGGCCCCGAAAACCAAGCAGCTCGGGCGCGGCTTGAAGCGGAGTCGCGTGATCAGAAGAGGGGAATGTGGAGCAAGAGGCGTTTGGGGAGGAGGAGCAGGGCAAGGAGAGGATGAAGGAGAAGAGGATGGCACAGATCATTTTGAGCAGGAGGAGGTTGCGAGTGCACGCTGTGCGGCCTCACGTGCCGGGGATGTGGGATTGCCATTAAGTCGGGCCTGTCCCTCTACAGGAGGAATATTCAGAAATAGTAAAAAAAAATAGTCAGGGGACGATGTTTGATACCATGTTTGAGTATTTTTGAATACGCTTGGGGTATTTTTAACTTTCGTCCAAAATCCGCCTGTAGGGGGGGGGACACGCCCGACCTTAGATTGCCAGCACATGTCATAGGTCAAGTTTCTGATGCGATTGCTGGTCACAGCGTGGAGTGGTAGTCCACAACCACGATCGAGCAAAGGTACGGGGAACACATGCCGGCATGGCTGGCAGTTGTTCGAGTCAGGGCAGGACGAGGAGTGTGAGGAGTGTGAAGAGGGGCTGCGGACTTCGATGATGAGCACCAGGATGAGTACGTAGCCAGAGTATATCAAAACCGATGCAAGCAGTTTGCCAATCGAGTGAGTGGAGGTCTTTGCTTCGACCTCCGGGATCAGATGCTCCGGTACCTCGACGGGCCAGACGTGACGATAGAGGCCCTCGGATAGGGGACTGGAGACAATCAAAACCGTAACGTTGGTGCTCCCTCATGCTCCTCCTAAAATTACTGCTGCTGCTCATGTCGTTGCTCCGCTGGACTCCGCCCATGTCTGCATCGGACGCCCTGAGGTGCTGCTTCCAAGTGCTTGCACTTGATGTGTTGCGTTGTGTCCGCTGCTGTCTACCGCATGGGTTCACATGGCTTTCTCGTTCGAGCTCTTGCCATACAGGCCTGAACCGGGGACATGGGTCGTCTTCAGTGCGTCTAGGGTGTCAAGTTGACCTGCGCCAGGTGCACTCGGCCCGTCAGGAGATCGAGAGCTTCTCTTCCATTCTGTGTTGCGTAAAGTCAATTACAGATTCTAGACTTCGCGCAACCCCACCAGACCATCCAGAAACGATGCCCAGGCGAGTTGCCCTGATCAGGGATGTGCAACAGCATGCAGTGGAAAAAAGGGCTGGGGAAGCCGTCACACCCCAAGTGGAGGAGCATGCAGGAGGAATCGAAGGATGGGGGAGGGGGAGGGGGGAGGGGCAAGCTATGTGCGCTCGCGTCATATCTGACGTCCTACCCTTCCCTCCCATCCCTTACCATGACGCTGATTTTCTCTATCCGCGGACGCGTGTCGTAGCGGACCTGTGGCTCCGCGCGCGCGTGCGTAGTGGGTGGTGGTGTGCGTGCGTGCGTGCGTGCGTGTGCGTGGTTGTGGTTGGTTGTGGTGGTGGGTGGTGGTGGTGGTGGTGGTGGTGGTGGTGGTGGTGGTGGTGGTGGTGTGTGTGTGTGTGTGCGTGTGTGCGCGTGTGCTGTGGTGTGACGTGGTGTGGCGTCTTGCTGGTTTGGTGGTGGGCCAGGTGCGTGCGTGCGTGATGGCAGTGGTGGTGGTGGCGGTGGTGGTGGTGGTGTGTGTGTGCGTGTGTGTGTGTGTGCGTGTGTGTATATGTGTGTGTATGCGTGCGTGCGTGCGTGCGTGCGTGCGTGCGTGCGTGCGTGCGTGCGTGCGTGCGTGCGTGTGTGCGCGCGCGTGTGATGTGGTGTGACGCGGTGTAGCGTGGTGGTGGTGGGTGGGGTAGTGGGGTGGTGGTGGCGGTGCGCGTGCGTGCGTGCGTGCGTTGGTCGGTGGAAGTGGTGGCGGGCGGATGGGCGCGCGAGAAAGATGCCCGCGCTGGGGCGAGAACGCCATCCTGAACCACGGAGGCAACACACCGATCCGAAAATGAGACCCACGCTGCAGCGGGAACACGATTCGGAACGAGCGGGGCCCGAAAATGAGGCCGGCGCCTCAGCGAGAGCAGCATTTTGAAAAACAGTGCAGGCGAAAACCCAACTCCCGGGAATCTTGTGTGTAAAAAAGCAGGACGCGGGGGGGGGGGCGAACACTCCCAGCACGTCATCAGGGGAAGAGGGAGAGTAGTATTCATATTGAGTAATTGTGTAGCAGGGGAAGGCAGGAGGGGGGAGGGAGGAGGGAGGGGAAGGACTTGGGCGGAGGAGGAGGAGGAGGAGGAGGAGGAGGAGGAGGAGGAGGAGGAGGAGGGCGAACACGATGGTCTGAGGCCTTTCGGATGTCTCTGGGAGGCTCTTCGGATGTCCCTTGCGAGCTTGTTGAAGTTCTTTTGGGGCGTCTCATGGCGCCAACATCGCAGGGCGGATTTGGCTCGGAAAACGATTGGGATGGACCCAAATTGTCTTGGAGAACTTCGTGTGGACTTTTTCCTTGGTCAGGAATGAAGACCCAAAACAGAAAAACGCGCGAAGTTCATTTCGCTTTTCGGTCGCGCCGCTTCGGGAAAACATCCCTTCAGAAATCCACGCAGACATCCGCTGCAGCACGTCTGCAAGGCCCGTCCTCTTGGAGCGTCTCTTGGGGGCCTCTTGGCGGTCCCCTGGGGGGCTCTTGGAGCGCCCTGGCTGCCTCGAGGGGGCCTCTCGGGGGGCTTCTCTGGGGGGAGGGGTCTCTTCGCAGCCTCCCCTGGGGACCTCGTGGGGGGGCCTCCTTGGGGCCTCCTGGGCGCCTCTTGGGGCCCTCCTGGGGCCCTCCTGGGAGCCCTGGAGCGAGTTTCTTTGTTGCTCGGGGCCAAATGGGCATTATGATTAGCCCCCGGCCCCCCTGTAACGCCCCTCCCCCCCCTCCAGTGCGCTCCAGGCACTGCCGCCGTGCGCACGGCGGGGGGGAGGCGTGTTACATTATACCCCTTCTTGGCCCCTCCCCCCCCTACAATGCCCACTATCGCTGAACATTAAGAAACGCGCTCCAGTGGGCCCTCGTTGGGACATCCATCTTGGAGTAGTCCGATCAAAGCTCCAAGTACGGTCATGTGCCCAGGATGGAGGAGGCAGGGTCGATTTGCGTGCGTCGTGTTCGCTCATCACCGTGGGGGCGTGGGCGGGGATGGCCGGAAACTCGAGGGGGGTCCAGATTGGCGCTTCTTCCCCTTTTCCTGCCCACCCCTCGTCGGAGGTGGATGCGGCGGGTGAGGAGGCGAGAGGACGACGCCTGCCTACCGCGGGTGGGTTTGTGTACCCTTCCTGGGCCGCCTGGCCACCTTTCCATGCGCATGGCTGCTGCCGCGTCGTCGAGTGAGCAGGGATGGTGGTGCTCCGCATATCTCCGACTTGCTGATGTTACGCACGCATCAGCAACTGGGCTTTTCGCGTTTTCTCCCGAGAAAGAAGCTGCGATCCGATCGACGACAGACATTTGGCGCAGAGACCAACCAAGAAAGCCAGGAAGTGCAACACAACACACCAGAAGTAGGCGCAGAAGCCAGAAGGTGGAACAACACAGCAATAGCGAGACCTGGGACAAGTCGAGGAGCCCATGTGGGCAAATAATATGCGCAGTCTCCTGGCAGTGATCGCCAGGAGCGATCAACAATGAGATCACTCCTACCTCTCCTCCTCCTCCTCCTCCTCCTCCTTCCTACTACTACTACTACTACTACTACTACTACTACTACCACTACTACTACTACTACTACTACTACTACTACTACTACTACTACTACTACTACTACTACTATACTACTACTACTACTACTACTACTACTACTACTACTACTCCTGCTCCTCCTCCTACTACTATACTACTACTACTGCTGCTGCTGCTACTACTACTACTACTACTACTACTATTACTACTACTACTACTAATGATAAATAATAATACTAATACTAATAATAATAATAATAATATTAATAATAATACTCTTCCTCCTGCTCCTCCTCCTCCTCCTCCTCCTCCTCTTTCTCCTGCTCCTCCTCTTCCTCTTTCTCCTGCTTCTCCTCCTCTCCTCCTCCTCCTCCTCCTCCTCCTCCTCCTCCTCCTCCCTCTCATCCTCATCCTCTTCCTCCTCTCCTCCTCCTCCTCTCCTGCTCCTGCTCCTGCCCTCCTCCTCCTCCTCCTCCTCCTCCTCCTCCTCTCCTCCTCCTCTCCTCCTTCTCCTCCTCCTCTTCCTCCTCCTCCTCAAAACGACACGGGGACGACGCGGCTGAGGAGCCGAGTTCGAAGAAGGGTTTCGCACCCTCGCCCAGGTTCCTCGAGCTCTGCGGCTGCCCGGGCGCGGAAACCTCAGCGGGACCTCACTGTGCGCATCGCCAGCTTCCATCCCTTTTCCTCTCGTCCTTTTCCTCCCCTGCCCCTGCAGTGTCCCTTTGCCCCTCTACTCTCCTCTGCTCTCTCTCCCGCGGAGGCCAGGCGAGTTCGACATCGGAGATGGAGAGCCTCGTCTCTCTCCCGTCCTGCCTCCTGCTCGCCCTGCTCCTCCCTCCTCCCGTCACCCTCCATGCTTGCCTCGGCCACGGTGTCTTATGCCAGCTCGGCCGTCACGCAGAGGAGATGTCACATCTCCACTCGAGGGCTCTGGAGCGAGGCTGTGTCGCAGGGGAGTCGGCGGGGTGGCTGGCCGAACGCACTCCTGAGCCTCGCCCCTGTGCAGGCGCTGCTGGACGAGTGGACCGAGCTCGCGACCCCGAAGAAGGGCCTGCGGCGCAAGGTGGTCGCTGGTTCGACGGCGAAATCCAAAGCCCTACCCTCGCCGATCAGCGATTCAGGCCACTCGATGGGCGGCGAGGGTAGGGCTCGGAATTCGCCGAGCACGTGGCGAAGTCCAAGCCATACCCCTTCCTGATGTTGTCGTTGCACTTGAGGACCAGATCCCACAAATCGTCTCGAGCACCCAGAGAAGTATCGAAACCGTGTCGAACGAGCATCGCCTCCCAGAGCCCGACACGTGAGAGCCCTCCAGGTTAGGTGCTCTCTTGGTGCTCGAAATTCTTTCTGCCGATCCAGGCCAGACTGGGTTGGAGCATCGTACCCCCTCCCATCGACCCAGGAAAATCGATGGTTGGTGGGGGTAGGGCTCGGATATCGCCACCTGATTATCTTGGCGCAGCCCTCGCGCCGACCGTCCCCCCCCCCTCCAGGAACTCCGGGACCCTCCTCAGCAAGAAAGGCCCTGGGAGCTTCGGGAGACTTAGAGGAGGAGGGGGAGAAGGAGGATGAGGAGGAGAAGGAGGAGGAGGAGGAGGAGAAGGATGAGGAGGAGGAGGGGGAGGAGGAGGAGGAGGAGGAGGAGGAGGAGGAGGAGGAGGAGCAGGAGGAGGAGCTACAGGAGATCGTTTTCCTTCATCCCCTGGCGATAACGGGCGTGACGGGAGGGGGAAGGGGGGAGGGGGCCGGTCACGTCGCGATTTGCGCCGGTGCGGTTTCGGAGAGACTCATTTCCGCACGGCGTTGGCGCTCACCGTTACGTGAGCAGCGGGTTGGTGGAAAGGGGGGGGCGGGGTCCGTCACGGGCGTCATCGCGAACAAGAAAACGGTGTCTTAAGGCTTGGCGCAGCCGCAGCCTTGGTGCCGACCTGACCCCCCTCTGAGTCTGCACGTGATTCCGTGAGCTCCAGAAGACCCACAGCCACCTCGCTTTCCGCTCTCCCGCTCTCCCGATCTCCCGATCTCCCGTTCTCCCGCTCTCCCGCTCTCCCGCTCTCCCTTCCTCCCGCTCTCCCGCTCTCCCTCCCTCCCGCTCTCCCGCTCTCCCGCTCTCTCGTTCTTCCGCTTACCCGCTCTCCCGCCCCCCAGGTCTCCCGCCTTCTCGTTTCAGGCGTGAGGGAGAGTAGGGGGAGCAGCATCAGCAGGAGAAGCAGGAGTGAGACGAGTGGGATGAGATAGTGGAGGAGGTCTGAGGAGGAGGAGGAGGAGGAGGAGGGGAAGGAGGAGGAGGAGAACGAGATGTGAGGAAGGACATGGCCTGAGTAGGAAGGGATGAGGAGGGCGAGGAGGTGAAGGAGGAGAAGAAGTGAGAAGTGAGGAGGACGATGAGGAAGAGGAGTGATATTGAGGGCGGAAAGGAGTAGAAACACACAGGAAAGGGACCGGAGGGGGAGGAGGGTAAAGAGTAAGAGTGAGATTGAGGACGTAGAGGAGTAGGAATACACAGGAACGGGACCAGAGAGGGAGGACGACGATGCGGATATACGATCATGATGCTGATGATGATGATGCTGCTGCTGCTGATGATGATGATAATGATGATGGTGATGATGATGATGATGATGATGATGATGATGATGATGATGATGATGATGATGTCAATGATGCGATGATGCCGCTGGTGATAATGTTAATGATGATGATGATTGTGATGTTGATGCAGCTTATGAGAAGAAACAAGTTAAGAGCTAGACAAACTGAGTGAGGAGAATGAGGAGGAGGAGGAGGAGTAGCAAGAGGTAAGACGAGAAGAGGGAGGCGTAGGAGGAGGAGGATCGAGACACAATGAGTAGGAGTCGAGGAGGATGAGGATGAGTGAAGAAGAGGAGGAGGATGGGGGAGAAGCGAGAAGCAAAGAGAGGACGCGAGGAGGAGGAGGAGGAGAAGGGGGAGTGAGGACAAGGATGAGGAGGAGCAGAAGTGCGCACGGGAAGTTGTTCGGATCAGGATGAGGAGGAGGACTAAGACGATGTGGAGCAGCTGTGATCATGTCAACGATGATGATGACGATGACGACGACGGCGACGATGGTGATGATGATGATGACACCGATGATGGTGATGCTGATGCTGATGCTGATGATGATGATGATGATGATGATGATGATGATGATGATGACTATCAGGAGGATGATGAGGAGGATGAGCAGGACCTACCCGAGGTTAACGCGATCCCAGTCATATGTCTATCAGTATGCCGATCATATTTTCGTTGTTGATGCGACGATGATGATGTTGATGATGATGCTGGTCATGATCATGAGACGAATATTATGCTGCTGCTGCTGCTGCTGCTGATGATGATGATGATGATGATGATGATGATGATGATGATGATGATGTAGATGAACCGTGATGACCAACAAGCTTCTGGTGATGATAATGGCGATGATGGCGATGATGATGCTGATGATGGTGATGATGATGATGAGGAGGAGGATGAGGAGGTGGAGGAAGAAAAGGAACTGGGCAGGATGAGTTAGGGTCAAGGGAAGGAACGACGACGAGACGGAGTTGGAGGAGGAGGAGGAGGAGGAGGAAGAGTTTAAGACTAGTGAGGAGTATTTCGCACTTATTGTTTGCCTTTATTATGTTCCTGATCCTTGTGATCATGTGACGCAGGCGCGCGTGTGTGTGTGTGTGTGTGTGTGTGTGCGTCTTGGAAGGTCGTTTCGATCTCAGCGCTCAGCCGCCTTGTTGTGTTGCCCCTGCCCAGCACTGCTTGGGCCTGGTCCCCCCCCCCAGCATGGCGCGGCTGCCTCTGGCTGCCGCTTCCCCCGGCTGCCCCGCGGCCGCCGCCCCGCCGTCCCGGCGCTGCCCCGCCGCCGCCTGGCCCCGCTCCGAGCGGGCCCGTTTTTTGTCTCCGTCCTTCCCGCGCCGGGCGTTCCCATTCTTCCTCGCGCGCACTGCGGCGCAACTAACATTTGTATGCCCTGTATTTGTTCCATCTCCCAGCGCAGTCACTCTGCCTAGCCGCCGACGTAAAAAAGTGTGTATGTGTGCGTGCGTGTGCCAAGTTCGCGCCGTAGGTCTATCCTTGACTAACTTCCGTTCAGCCTCACTACCCTGGACTTTTCATCCTCAGCCGATTCGGCTTCGGTTTCTGTTTTGCTCACCTCGCTCCGCGGCAAGGCGCCGCAGCGCGCCCGCGCCGGCTTCGCCAAAAAAAGCGGCCGAGAGGAACGCCGCCAGTTTCCGCGATTGCAAGCGCACCAACTTTTGGATGAGCTGGATCGCCAAACCGTGGACAAAAATACCTCGGGGGCTGCGCAATTCAGCGTTTGCAGAACTGCCGCGAGACTTGCGCAGCCCTGCAGCGGCCGAGAGGTCAAGAAGCAACGCAAGGACTTGTTCCACTTTCGGCGTCACGCCTTGGTGGCCCAGGCGTTCGGGTGTTTTCTTTTGTGTGTGCGTGTGCGTGTGTGTGTGTGTGTGTTTTCTGAAGCATTACTCCGCGCCCCACCACTAGAAATATCGCCAGCGTAAACCATAAAACGCACTCAGGCAACGAAAACATTGGAATGATACGGCCAGACAATGACAACCCAACTACAGGACGCACAAGCACAGCACACCTACCCAGCTCGCAGCTCAGATCAACCACGAGTCCTGCACGAGGGCCAAGCACAGAAACGACAGGTTGGACAACTCCTGTGGAGGAAGCGGCGCGTCTGAGGCATCGCGGCGCGTCCGGGGTGGATGAAAAACACGTTGACGCTCCAACAAACGAGTTTCCGAGAGACTCCGTTGATTGCAAGAGAGTTCCCCAGGCCTTTTTGGAAGCTGCTTCAGCGGCTCCTCGACAGCCATGGGTTCCCCATTAGCTCTGCAGTTTTCAAAGGAAGTCGGCCGTCCCCCCGCCCGCGGGCCCGCCGAAACCGCGACGCGCGCGCAAGGCCAGGGCCGACGGCAAGGCGGAAGGCGCGGCCGCGGCCCGGGAGTAGGCAGCGAAAGAGCACGACCGCCTTCAGAGAGCCCTTTCCGATACCAAGGCTGCTCACTTCAGTTTGTCGGCGATGTGGCCTTACAGCGTCGCGAGCAGCTCGGCGTCAAATCAGCGCCCCCGCCATCGCGCGGCAGTGCCCGCAAGTGAAGCGGGTGGAGAGGTTCTACGCGGGTGTTTTGAAGTCGAGGTGACCGTCGCCAAGAAGCTGCTCATCCCGGCGACCAGCCCCTGCGGGCGGCAATCGCCAGATCCAGCGCAGCGGCCTGATTGGGAAAGTGCGCCAGTGGATCTCCCTGAATACACCCCCCCTCCCTCCTCCCCTCCCCCCCCTTCAAGGGGGGGGGTCCGGACCCCCCCCCCTCCTCCCCCCCTTAAGGGGGGGGCGGGGTCCCGAATCCCCCCCCCCCCCTCCCTTGAACGGGGGGGGGTCCGGACCCCCTTCCCCCCCCCCCCCTTGGCGCTGGAAGGGGGTGGGGGGGTCGGACCCCCCGCCCTCGTGTAGGGAGTACGGAGTTGGGAGTAGGGAGTGGTGCGTAGTGCGTAGTGAGTTAGTGCGTAGTGAGTAGTGAGTATTGGGTAGTGAGTAGTGGGTAGTGAGTGAGTGGCGAGTAGGGAGTAGGGAGTGTGGAGTAGTGAGTTGTGAATAGTGAGTAGTGTGTACTGATATGTGAGTAGTGAGTGGCGAGTAGTGAGTAGGGAGTAGCGAGTAGCGAGTAGTGAGTACTGAGTAGGGAGTAGCGAGTAGTGGGTAGTGAGTAGTTTGTAGTGAGTAGTGGGTGGCGAGTAGTGATTAGTGAGTGGTGAGTAGTGGGTAGTGCGTAGTGCGTAGTGGCGAGTAGTGAGTAGCGAGTAGTGAGTAGTGAGTAGTGGGCAGGGGCAGTGGGTAGGGAGTAATGAGTAGCGAGTAGTGAGTAGCGAATAGTGAGTAGTGAGGAGCGAGTAGGGCGTAGTGAGTAGTGAGCAGAGAGTAGTCAGTAGGGAGTAGTGGGTAGTGCTTAGTGAGGTAACGAGCAGGGAGTAGCGAGTAGTGAGTAGTGAGTAGGGAGTAGGGAGTAGAGA